ATAATAAAAATATCGACTTATTTAGTTAAAAAGATTTTAAAAACTAACTTTTTTTTTTCGCGTAAGAAAACGTTAATAACGACTAAAATTTAATTATTTTTTATCTTTTTATAATAGTAGAGAGACTTAAAAATAATATTTATTATAAAAAAAATTAATTTCTAAATAGAAACGTTAATATTTTTAGAAATAAAATTTTAGATATATATTATTTAGATTTAAATATACTATTTAAACCACGATACTATTAAATATATACAATTTTATAATTACTCTAAAAATAAACTACTTTTTACTATACTTATAGTCTATATTTTAAACTACTTTTATAGTATATACTTTATCTATATAACTTTAATATTATAATAAATTTTCGCTACTTAGTTACTTTATATATTTTAAAATTTTAACTATATTATATATAGCTTTCTAATAGCTTTTATATAAAAAAAGTAATTTACTAAAAAAAAGTTATTTACTAAAATAATTTTACTTAAATTAGTCTATTTATATAAAAAAACGCGAAGTAAATTTTTTACTATTACTTACTTTAATTAAAACTAAATTTTAAACTTAAGCTTATAGTAGTATAAAAATATATAATTAAAATTTTCGTATAATTTAGTTAAGAAATAGACGAGAAATTATTTATTTTTATAAAAAACTAGATAATTTAGTAAATTTAAACCGGTCTATTTACTAAATTAACTATAATTATATATTATTTACTAAATTAACTACTTTACGTATTAATATAAAACTAGTATTTTACTATTTACTAAAGAGAAAATTATTAAATACGATCTCTTTTATTATAAATAATTTAAATATAATCTCTTAAATCTAAATACGATCTCTTTTCTAATATTAAAAATATTTTTAATACTATAACGCTATAACGTAATTAAAATATAAGTATTTTATATTTATATATTAGTATTTAGACTTATATTTACGAATTATAATAAAAAATAGAAATTTTTATAATAAGAATATCGATTTATTTAGTAAAAATCTTTTTAAAAATTAATTTTTTTACGACGCGATAAAGCGCTACTTACGCGAAGATTTAATTATTATTTTATATTTTTTAGTAGAAGAAATACTAAAAAATATTAATATATTAAGAAAAACTATCTTCTATATAAGAAAGTTAACGTTTTAGCGATAAATTTTAAAGAGATCGTATTTAAATCTAAGAGATCGTATTTAAGTCGCCGCTAATAAAAGAAATTATATTTAGTAATTTCTTTTTTATTAAATTATCTATAGTAGATAATTAAATAAATATCTAAGTAATTTAGAAAATAAAAATTAAAATATAAATAGTTTAGTAATTTACTATTAAAAAAGAGAGTATTAAAATAATAAATAAAAATATTAGAATAATAAATAGAGATATTAAAAAAGTAGCGGCCTTAATATTTACTAAAATATTATTAATTACGTTTTTATTTCTAAGATATTAGATTTTTATATAAATTAGTAATATATCTCTACCTAATATTTTAGTAATATTTTTAATATTTCGGTAATTAATTTTAAAAACCCTAATATTCGAGTAATTTACCGGCTAATAATACTAACTACGCCGCGCGTGCAAGCAGATAAGCAGCCGGCTGCTACGCATACGCTGGGCGACCATGTGACCTCTTTTAGCGTTGAGAGATTCGCTCGCCATGGCCGCAGAAAGCGTCATTACAAACAACGAGTTTGAAAAGCAGTCCGTGGCTACGCAGGCACGTCAAGCACGCCAAGCAGATGCCAGGAGGATCACGCAACACGGAGGAGTCATTTACGCGATTCGTGCGCGTCATATCGCAGAGGAAAAGCTCATGCTAGCTCATATACAGGAGCAGCGTGCGGAGCATTTGGCGCATAAACGAACGTGTACAATTCGAAAGCGTTTAGGCTGGGGCAAGGTTCTTTCACAGGTGACAGCGGTAGTAAGGAAGAGGGAAAAGCAACTGTTTGTAAATTAACAACACCACGCGGTGTTGAGACACACGATAGACAACGATGCGCATTGCTACAGGCGAGCGTTGGGGTGATATGAGCGTTGGGCTGTCGGCTACCCGTCAGGGTGGGGCCAAGCACGAGCGCGGCCTGCGATGAATAGGCAACGCTTATTGAGGAGCGACCTTGGCCACGATTAGTTACTCCATTCTAGAAATTAGGAAGTTAAATTTGTAGTGGCCTAAATGTAAGCTGGCTTAGTAGTAGGTAGTTGGGTAAGACAGCTAGCTGCCGCGTCGCATCGCTGCGCCGGCTGCTATAGCCACTATCTAAGACCTCCAGCCACTACCACTAGCCACACGTAACTGGCAGGATTGTGACCAGTAGGCGTGCCGTTGGATAAAGCCGGCCAAGGAGATAACGATCTCGCGATGCAACGAATAGAACGCCTTAGTACGCGATTCATTATAGCTAGGGTATACTGCATATCTACGTGAAGCGAGCGATAGAAGCGAGGCAGAATAGTGGGGACAAATCGATTGGCCGAAATGGAGTGTCAACAGATCGATATAGATCTTTCAGTATGCATGTATAGCTCCCTCTCGCAGCGGAATGCTAGTGCGAAGATCAGCACAAGGGACTCTGGGCTCGCTCTGGTAATAACAGGTCGAAACCGTGGGTTTGTGCTCCTTCTCAGGGTGATGATAGGTTGGAACCCCAGTTCTTCTTGAAAAAACAAATCCGCACCAGCCATCGGCTGTAAGAGGGGGCTGGATGACAATGGCGCGCGTTGGACTTAGGCGAATTAAAGCACAGCGCGCGCACAGGTGGGCGGGCCGTCTTTAGTGGAGCGGTCGACACGCGGTCTGCATCAGCGGGCAGAGCACGGACAGCGCGTTCGACCGTTTAAATGGTGCCGGCCCAGGGAAGAGCGGGCGCTGAAAGTGGGCGGCGCGTGTTTCGGAAAAGTTGGCCCATGTGGCGCATGCTCGCTCGCACTGGCGGGCCTGGGCCAGCAGGGAACGAGCGGCGAGGCCCGGCGAAGAGCGGTGCATGAAGAAGCGGCGGGCGTCTATGGCAGTGGGGTGGCGGGCGGCGACTCGCGGGCGCACAGGCGGCGGCCGGTTGCAGGCCGGGGAGCGTCAAGCTCGTGCTTTTTGAGCGTAGCGCTTGACATTCAGCCGCCTGGAGCGATCAATTGCGGGCTAGCGCAGGGGCCCTCGCACGCGTCCCTGGCAGCGCAACGACGAGAGATTGCGAGACAGTGGAATTTTGATCACCACCCCAGCCGGCCCCTGGCCCGGCCGACTCGCTGCGCGCGGTCCTTGAAACCGCCTGCGCTGCGCTGTCCGCCGCCCTCCCAGACCCAGCCCGCAAGCAAGAAGCTGCCGCCTCGCCCAGCCGCCTAGCGCTATCGCCTGCCACCACGACCACCACCACTGCAGTCGAGACCGCGCCGCAATTGCTTTATCAACCGCCCTCGCGCCTGCCGTTGTCCCCGTCCTGCGCCGCCTGCCAGTTTCCAGCGCGCTGCACCGCCTCCTGTCGCAGATTGGCAGCGCCCCCGTCTGCCTCTTCTGCCCGCGGAACCGCAGCAGCGCCGTCGCCCTCCCGCCAGCTCGCAATGCCGCCCCAAGACGAGAAGACGACGTTCGGCGTCACCATCACCCGGCCGCTGACGCCCGACTCGCCGCCAGCCGCGACCAATGTGCCCGCGACCGCGCTCAGGAGCCAGCCGTCGACCGACAGCCATCTCTCCGCCGCCGCCGCCGTGGCCTCGCCCACCTACCGCACCAATGACCCGTTCAGCCCCTTCTACCAGCACCCGGAGAGCCGCTCGCATCTCGAGGTCGATCGCAGCAAGCCCGATCTCGAGTCTGGCCTGCTCAGCGTCGGCAACCCCAACGGCGTGCCGCTGTCGGCGGCCACGACGCAGACGCAGCCCAAGGTCAGCATTGACGGCCGCGTCAAGGAATGCACAGTCTGGCCCACCAAGCAGACGCTGCAGGACAAGGCCCGCGCCGCCAAGACGCAGCGCCGCACCTGCCAGTGCTGGGGCCGCCTGTCCAAGAAGCAGAAGATCATGCTCGAGGTGCTGATCGGCTTGACCGTTGTCGCGCTGGCCGTCGGCCTGAGCGTGGGCATCTCGCGCGCCGTCGGCGGAGGCGTGTGGGCCGGCACCGGCCAGAGCACCACCATTCCTAAGGACGGTTCCTGAAGCATCAAATGAGAACAGTTGGTGAGCCGCCCGCGCCGCGACCCGCGCCGACCCGCGTCGCTGACCGCCGCAGTGCTGCTCATCTAGACTCCCCATTCCTCCAGCTTTTCCCTCGCGCAGCCATCAGCACGCACCCCGCGACACGGGCACCGTCGCGCCTCCGGCTCTCAGCACCGACGACTGCCGTCCCGCCCGCTGCCATCATGCCGTGGCTCGCGCTTCTTGTCCGAAGTTTCCTTTCCCGTCAGTCTTGCTTATCGTCTCTACTTTTCATTAGACGACTCCGTTTGGCGTTGGCAGGCGTTTATTCTTCGGCTGCGCTCTCGCAGCCAGGAAGTCTTACAGGCGTTAGTAATTGTGTACTGGAATCCCGAGAAAAGACGCGGTACATATACCCAGAGGATCCTCGGGCCCGACGAGGATTCCATGTAAATTTCCGTCACACCCGGCTCTCCCTTTCTTTTGTTTTGTTCTTGCGGCGTGGCGCTAGTGGCATTCTCGTTTGCTGCCGGGTGTGTTCTGACGGGCGAGCAAGGGAGACGGACTAACGGGCGACTTTTTTTCTTCTCTCTTCGTGTATTATCTGCCGCACCTGGCCAGCCGGTGCGCAGGGGCGCAACGCGTTGGGCCGCTTTCTTTGGCTGCACCGTACATATTTCAATTGCTCACGATCCATTTGGCCGTCAGTCTTTGACTTTTCCCGGGTGCATTGCGCAGAGGTTGGCAGGGCTGAAACGCGACGAAAGCCAAGAATAGCGAGCGCTACGTCACGGGTTAAGCGCTGGCCTTGGATCATCGACAACCACACGTCTGGCGGCAATACAAACGACAGGAGACAGCTTCGTCTTGGCGCGCGGCTGCTGGATAGATATGTATGTATCTCTGCGCGTCAACACGACCAGACGCTCATCGCTTCCCTCACTTTCTCGTTGATCATGGGCTGGTTTTGGTTCAACTTGCTGCTTCTCTCTGCCTCGCTTGCACTGCCCACGGAATCAACGACGACTCTCCGACACACATCGACGATCACCGTCGTGCAAACCATCTACGCCTCTGCGGCAGTCGCGACGGCAACTGCGTCGGTCACCACGGACGAGCATTCGTATACGGATGACGCCGTCTTCGACAACACTGTTCTGGACATAACCAACACAGTGCGGCAGAACTACAATGCAAGCGCGCTTTCGTGGAACGACACGCTCGCAGATTACGCGCAGGCTTGGTCCGAGGGCTGCAAGTTCGAACACTCGGTACGCCGCTTTGCCTCCCGCATCGAGTGCCCCCAGACTAACAAAGCTGGAACCAGAACGGGCCGTACGGCGAAAACCTTGCCGCGACCTACCCCTCGGCTTCGGCCGCCGTCACAGCCTGGGCCAACGAGTCGCAGCACTTCGACTTCGCGGATCCAGGCTTCACGGAAGCCACGGGCCACTTCTCGCAGATGGTTTGGAAAGGTACCACGTCGATGGGGTGCGGGAGGACCAACTGCGGCGGCTCGAGCCAAGGCGACCACGCCAACGGCTGGTATGTCGTGTGTAGCTATTGGCCTAGAGGCAACGTCCTCGGCCAGTTTGCTGCAAATGTCGACGCGGCGGTGGATGGGAGCGGCAGCTCTTGGGATGACGAGGGCATGATTGCCAAGAGCAAAAGCGGCGTGGCAAGGGTTGGCGTATGGAGGGCCATGCTGTGCGCGCAGTCGGTGGCATTGGCAAGTTGGGCTCTGGCATGAGTGGCGTTTAATAGCGACGGCGTTGGAATGATTAGGGAAAAGCGCAATACAAAAGAGGATCGACGGGGAGACTACGGCTGGCCCTAGTCGACGTCGATTTGGATCCGCAACGTTGGTGAAAGTCCGACGCCGGAGGACGAAGCATCCAGAGCGGTTCGGGATCAGCCGAAGTTGGTGAGGCTCTCATAAGCGAAGAGCCACCTGATGATCTCATATGAAGCTGATAGAGATGCTAGCCGAGACCGGACGCTGAGGGCGAACACCGTGGTGCTCCGCCCTCGCCGTTTGGAGTTTCGGGACGAGCATCGATGCGGCTAACGAGATAGGAGAGAACCACGACCAAGTGGGCCCTCGGCCCCAAGCCGCGGGACAAGGCGCTGGACGTCGCAACGCTGCCAGCGAAAGGCGTCTGGACAACGTGGTACTGCAGGTGAAGTCGCCAAGGACGACGGCGGCGGGCCGATGGTGTTGGCAGGCGGGCCGCCCTCGCATTGCTTGGCCCGATGCCGCTCCCGAACCTATGCTCTTGGTCAGATCCACTCTCGAAACTATCATGCTCTCAGTCAGACCCACTCGAAGCTGTGAAGATCCGCCAGCTTACCTGAAACCACCACATCTAGACCCGCGTCATCCGCTGCCTTTGTCATTCCACGCACGTGGGCTTGGCTGCTACTCTGTCCGCTGCCTATCCGGGAGATCGCCCTCGTCATCCTCCGAGTCTCCGTTGCCTGATCGAGCCTTGGACGAGCAGCACGATGCTCGCCGTCTCTTTACGCACTCCAAGCCAAGAGGCCTGGCTGTCCCTGCCGAGCTCCAGACCACCGTCAGTCCGAGAGGAACCGTGATCATCGTCGCCCACACCGTTCAGTTGAACCCACCTCCTTCGAATGGTGCAATCTGCGTGGGAGTCCGCCGATGCCGCCCGTTGTGCCATCGACCGGACCTCTGCCAGCAGGTATAAATGTCGCTTTGCTGAACGAGAACATCGCCTCTCTCCATCACCACTTCTCCAGCACTCGTTGGTAAGCTGCTCCTCGACAGTATGCGCTGCTTCCTCCTCACCTCTTCCCTCGTCTCCCTGGCAACGGCCAGTCCTTTGGCAGCTAGGGCCTACGACTACATCATTGTCGGAGGCGGTGCTGGAGGACTGGTCGTTGCCAACCGCCTGTCAGAAACCAATGCCTCAGTTCTCGTCATCGAGGCTGGCGGTTCGGGCTACGACAATCCAAACGTGACGGCACCGGACGGATATGGACTGGCGCTGAACACGGCACTCGACTGGTCTTACCCATCCGTGGCCCAGAGAGGCGGTTCTACCCACGCCATGCATGCCGGAAAGGTGCTCGGCGGATCCACCGCAATCAACGGTACGCACGTTCCCTTGCAGCTTCAACACATTCACCTAGTTAATTCGGCCACCAGGCATGTCTTTCACTCGTGCCGAAGCCTCCCAGATCGATGCTTGGGAGCAGATCGGCAACAGTGGATGGAACTGGCAGAACCTCTGGCCGTACTACCTCAAGAGTGAGAAGTACCAGGTCCCTGGTTCCGAGCAGATTCGCGGCGGAGCCGCGTACGAACACTCTTTCCATGGAAACCGAGGCAACCTGAAGGTCGGCTATCCAGACGAACAGGCCATCAACGATTTCCTCGCACCTTTGAACGCGTCCTATCAGGAGCTCGGTATCCCCTACTCACCAGACGTCAGCGGAGGCGCCATGCGTGGCTTCAACGTCTTCCCCATGATGGTCGATGTGGCCGAAAACGTCCGCTCCGATGCGGCTCGTGCCTACTATTTCCCTTTCAAAGCACGGCCGAACCTGCACGTCTTGTACGACACCTCCGTCACACGCCTCTTCTGGGGTGACGACGATAGCGAGGGCAATGCTGTTGCGTCCGGCGTCGAGGCAACTGGCGTGGACGGCACGGCCCTCGCTCTCACCGCAAACAAGGAGGTCATCGTTTCCGCCGGCGCTCTGAGGACTCCTGCTATCCTCGAGCTTTCTGGCGTTGGTAACCCTGAGTAAGTTGATGACTGCATTCCATCTCCTCTTGACCCGCGCCGTTGACCGCCCTGTAGTATCCTGTCCCGAGCCAACGTTACGACCAAGGTTCCCCTCCCAGGCGTTGGCGAGAACCTCATCGATCAGATCAACAACGGTATTTACTACGCCACCCCGAACAACAAAACCTACAAAGGGCTTGCCAACTACGTGTCTTACCCCAACGTGACGGATATCTACGGCGCCGAAACTGCCACGAGCCTCGCATCTTCCGTACGCAGTGCTCTGCCGGGCTTGGCTGCTCAGATTGCGGCGCAGAACAACAACGCTACCAATGCCTCGACTCTTCTCTCGCTGCTAGAGGTCCAACACTCGCTCGTTTTCGATGCGCAGGTTCCTATCGCCGAGATCCTCCACGTTCCCGCCAAACACTTTGGCTCGGAGTACTGGGGCACGCTTCCTTTCTCTCGGGGAAACATCCACATTGCCTCATCTGATCCCAGCAGCCCCGCTACCATCAACCCGAGATACATGATGTTCGACTTCGATCTCGATGTCCAGGTCGGTGTCGCCAAATTCTTCCGCAAGCTGTTCGCCACTGGTAGCCTTGCCGGGCTTGCGGGCGAAGAGCTTGAACCGGGCGTAGTGACGGTTGCTGAAGCGGCCGACGACGACGAGTGGGCTGCCTGGATCTTGCAAAACTGGCGGCCCAACTTCCACGTTCTTAGCACTGCCGTAATGATGCCGCGCGAGATGGGTGGAGTTGTCAGCGATCGGTTGAAGGTTTACGGCACAAATAATGTGAGAGTCGTCGATGCTAGCGTCCTGCCTTTCCAAGTGTGTGGCCACCTCACCAGCACCATTTACGCCATCGCTGAGCGCGCCAGCGACCTCATCAAAGAAGACGCTGGCATCCAGTGAGGTAACTTTACGACTCTGACACGGAACTGTGGTGGACCCCCCAACGATGTCCATGCCCGTGGTCTGATGTACGGGGTTTGTGTTGGATTCTGGCGCTAGATATAGACGGGATAGAGGGATTAAAAACTAGAATAGATCATATAGACAGGTTTAGTCAATGGGATGGATCCTTTTTCGTACGTATACCAGCCAGTTACAGTGCAGGAGCCGTAAAGAAAATGGTTGAATTCTTCGCCACTTTTGAAAAGGAACCGGTGTGAAGTGTAGTACAACGAGAAAAGCATGTGCTCGCTTGAGTATTTCGAACCTCAATGACAAAGTTGGGCCGACGGAGAAGTTCTTCGCAATGAGTAGCGTGGGTGGAAAGTCTAGAAGGGGAAGATGCGAGCCCAGCTTCGACTATCCTAATTCAGTAGTCGTCGACGAGCCACTGCTTGGAATTGCAGTGGCACTGCTGGGCTTTTCGCCAACGCACCCCTCTGATGCTGCAGGGATCAACATGTCTTTGTGAGCCGTGGTGAAATCTGACTCGGAGACGCATCCATCCTCGTTTGCGAGGTCTTCCGCCTCTGCAGCGGCAGCGTCGATTGATGACATTCTGATGACGAACTCACGCTGCAACTCCTTCAGCCAGCCCCCCAACGTTAGTCCTTCCATAGCGCCGCTTTGGGCTTGCAAGAGGTGTTCCTTGAGACTGAGTAGCAACCCCCGGCGGCGCTCCCGGATCACATTTGGTGATGTCTTTTCTCGGCTGTGCAGTCGTTGCTTCAGCTTCGTGGAAACTTGGCCCGCCTGTTCGAGGACTTCGGAAGGGAGAGGCACCACCCGTGCAAGTGTGAGTCCATAGTGCTGTTCACTAATAGGACCTTCCGCAATCTTGTATAGCATGTTCATGGCTCCCTCCTCGACTCTCGTATCTACAGCAAGGTGGAGGTTTACAATGCCGTTTCTTTCGGCCATGATCTCGGCGAGCTCGCGAAAATGTGTGGCGAACCAGACGAAAGCATGACTGTCGACCAGAGCTTCAGCAATTGCGAGCGCGATGGCGAGGCCATCACGAGTGCTGGTTCCGCGGCCTAGTTCGTCAATTATGGCTATGCTGTCCTTGCTGATGTTCCGTAGGATGAACGCCGCCTCTCTCATTTCGGCGGCGAAAGTGGAAACATTGGCCTCAATACTGTCGTCAAGTGAGACTCTAGCGAATAGCTGTCGTTGAATGGGCATTGACGCGTATTGTGCGGGCACAAACATCCCAATCTGCGTCATGACAGTCATGAGGGCAACAGCCCGGATGTAAGTGCTTTTGCCGCTCATGTTGCAGCCAGTGATGACTTGAAATCGCTTTTGTTGGGTGGCATAAAAGTCGTTTGGGACGAATTTTGATTGCTGTATCTTCTCTCGGATTGGATGACGACCTGCTTTGATGGCAAGAGTCTTGGCCAGGGTAGGGCGGATGTACTCTTGGCTCGCGACGAGGTGCGCGAATGATGATACCATGTCCAGCATGGCGATACCTTCGCAAACGCGGTAGAGAGTAGCTACGCATCTACGGAGTTCGGCGATAAGACCCTGGACGGATCTGTTGCTTAGACAGACAACCTCGTTGTGTGCATCGACGATCTTCTGGTTCCGCTTCATAAGGTCGATGGTCTGACACTCGATGACCCCCTTTTTCTTGTGCACGTTGGTGAAAATTGGCGGTAAAGCCCGGTCTTCTACATCTGCGGTGTTGAGCTGGATGTAGAACTGGCGCGCTGGGTCAAATTTAATCGCGAGGCCGACGTTGTGTGTTTCTCAAGCACGAGTTAGCGCGATGTAGGTCAATCCGAGGGGGACTTACCACCAAGCTCGTCGACCAGTTGATATGCATCCTCGGTGGCCTCTCTGTATGCTTGACGTGCCACATCGAGGAGACCGTTGACACCAGCCTAATTGGGTTAGATTCCACTGCAGCCTTGGGGGGGATCGAGAGAGCTGACCTTCACTGCGTAGATGTGCTGGTTCCTCAGGTCCAGCGGCCTCTTGGCGAAGACTGTATCCTCATTGATCACGGAATCGATCAGCTCTTGAATGGGGTCGATGAGGTCGGGGTGACAGAACTTGGACGGTCAGCCCGAGAATTCGGACTTGGCCATGGAGCCTCACCGCTTGGATCTCGCGGAGCATCGTGCTTCTGGCTCCGGTCAATGCTTCGTAGATGGGCCGGATTGATATGACGAATTGCTTGAGCATGATGACATGGTTGATGGCTTGCTCCATGGTGTATATCGAAGGCTTGGTAGGAACTAGAATAACCTGAGGCAATGGATGAGTACAGACAACGCATGCCGGAGAAGGCGCGGGGAGAGAGAGAGAGAGAGAGAGAGCACAAACTGCGGACAAGATCCTGTCGACATCCAGGAACCCTTTTAGCGCTAGTGACTGTCAGTTGGTGCCGCTCTCCTTGGGGCTTAAAGTAGACGCGCCTTGTCTCACGGCGAAGAAAAGGTCCTCCTTGGTGGACATCTCCTCTAGCGCATCATAACGATTCTTTAGCGTGTCCTCATTTGTGAGCGGCTGGAGGATGTTGCTGCGTAGCAGCCTCGCACCCATTGGCGTCAACGTCTCATTCAACAAACCGAACAAACAGTACCGGGACTTTGGATTCTCGAGGTTCTGGATGAGCTCCAGGGCACATATGGTGGGGACATCAATCATCATGGAGCCCTCCGAGGGCTCGTACTTGATCTTCAGAGCATGCGGTGGGAAGGTCACACCGTGACCCAACTCAACGTACTTCATTACCTGCGTCCGTCAGCACGAGAGAGCCGCCTCTAGCGGGCGGAAGGTGTACAGCAGCAAAGCAGCAAACACAGAAATAGTTGCCCTCAAGCGACAGCTTGATGGCCTCCACATCGTCGGCGAAGGCCAGTTGCTGGATGTACTCGGTCCCGGCCGTCTCGGCCCAGTACCTGCGGTCGACCGGGGTGATCCGGCTGTCGATGCCCTGCAGGTTCTCCTCAATGATGGAAAAGAGCTTGGACTTGGGATCGGCAGCGGTGGAGACGATGAGGATCTCGCAGGGCGCGTAGACCTGCAACTTGTGTACGGTGCGCACGTAGGTCTGGCTGTCGCAGATCTGACAGAGAACCGCTTGGACAGCGTCAAGGTTCACGATGGCGAGGCCAACGGTGGGAGAGATGCCGCGAGACTCGCTGACGGCGCACACGACGCGCTGGGCTCCGATCCCAGCACCACTGGTCGCTGCTGTGGTTGGCCGCCCCGTGCCTGGCCGGCGCTGGGTGCGCTGGCCGGTGCGAGGGCGAGAAGCTGCCGTGTGTGTCGCAGACGTGTACGTCGCCATGGCCGTTTTCTGCACTCGAGCCGTCGGTGGGTGAGTTCGGCGCGGGAGGTCGGGGACGGACGGGCTCGCACGCGGAGCGACAACCGGCGCCAAAGACGTTGCCGCCGGCACCGTCGCAGCGGCGGCCTGGTGGACCGTGCGCATAGGGCTGAGAATTGTCGCGGCCAGCGTCCAAAAAAGTTCACCGGAGCGCTGTTCCCCCCTCGACAACCCACCCACTCCCGTACTCTCGGTTTCCCTCCCTCTGCTCGTCAATTCCGCGTCGCAGTCGTCCGAGACAGAATCGTGTACCATGGCGACCGTTCCTCCGCCGCCCAGCAAGCGCCAGAAGACGGCGGCGGCAGCGCGCGCCCGCGAACAAGCAGAGGTTCCCTCGATTCCCTCGGGCAGCGTTCGCGTCAGGTTCGTCGACCAAGCTACCGGCCAATCTGGCGATCTCCCGGTCGTGTCCGTCCCCCTCGGCCAGGCCCAGGTCAAAAACCTCGAAACCTTGCTCAATACGCTGCAGGGCAACGAGGATGCCGCAGACCGCATCCCATACCGCTTCTTTTACGCCGGCCAGGGCGGTCAGGACATCAAGGAGGGCGAGAGAGGCGAGGCCTTGGGAGATGCCGCCGACCTGTGGAACGCCTTGATCAAGGAGGGCAAGGCCACGACCGAGGAGGAGATCGTTCTGGCCTACGCACCTCAGGCCGTCTTCAGGGTGCGCGCTGTCTCGCGGTGCACCGCTGCGATAGCCGGCCATGGCCAGCCCATCTTAGCCACTCAATTCTCGCCCCAGAGTAGCTCGCGCATGGTCAGCGGCAGTGGAGATGGCACGGCGCGAATTTGGGACTGCGACACAAACACTCCCACACACACTCTGAAGGGCCACACGAGCTGGGTCCTGGTGGTCAGCTGGTCGCCCGCCGGGGACGTCATTGCTACGGGCTCCATGGACAATACCGTGCGGTTGTGGAACCCGAAGACTGGCGAACCGCTGGGAGGGGCCATGAGGGGCCATACCAAATGGGTGACCAGCCTAGCCTGGGAGCCCTACCATCTGCAAGAATCAGGCCGTCCGCGGATCGCATCTTCATCCAAGGATGCCACCGTGCGCATCTGGGACGTTGTGGCAAGGAAAGCAGACATAGTGCTGTCCGGACACAAGGGCACCGTCAGCTGTGTCAAGTGGGGAGGCACAGGCCTGCTGTATACTGCCTCACACGACAAGACCATCAAGGTGTGGAATGCTGTAGACGGAACTCTCAAGCACACCCTGAACGCCCATGCTCACTGGGTGAATCATCTGGCCCTGTCCACCGATTTCGTCCTCCGTACCGCATACCACGAACATGGCCCGCACGACAAGCCTTCCTCCGAAGAGGAGAGGACGGCGTTCGCGCGAAGGCGCTTCGAGAAAGCTGCCACAATCGCCGGCAAGGTGGTGGAACGTCTCGTCTCGGCCAGCGACGACTTTACCATGTATCTATGGGAACCTTCTTCGAGCACAAAGCCGCTTGCGAGACTCCAAGGCCACCAGAAACAGGTCAACCACGTCACTTTCTCGCCCGATGGACTGTATATCGCCTCGGCAGCATTTGATAATCACGTGAAGCTATGGAATGCTAATACCGGAGCCTTTATCACAACCCTGCGTGGACACGTCGCTCCCGTCTACCAGTGCTGTTTTAGCCCAGACAGTCGGTTGTTAGTCAGCGCCAGCAAGGATACCACATTGAAGGCTTGGGACGTGAGGACTGGAAAAATCGCAAATGACTTGCCGGGTCACCAGGATGAGGTCTATGCGGTCGACTGGAGTCCGGATGGAAGGGGAGTAGGCAGCGGAGGAAAAGACAAGGCAGTGAGGATCTGGAGACACTAGCCCTCCATGTTCTCACGCTCTGTACAGGAAGAAATGTAATCTCTTTGAAGCCCGACGACGTGAGCATTCCTGACCAGATCCGATGCGATTATCGAATTGTCATCACCGCGACAGAAGAAAACAGTATTTTCATGACGACTTTTGCTTATTTGAGGGACCAAACTTGACTTGAACAGCGCTAAGGTGCACAGTCGATTTTAACTACGGCTACAACGAGACCACACGTGGGACCTCATAGGTCTTCAGGTGCTCATTTCTTCTCATGAACAGGGAACTCGTGGCCAGTGCTCTTCTTGTATTGATGGCGGATAGCATCGGCAATCTTACGGTCCTTCGCCTGCTCCCAGGCGCTCTCGTTGCTCTGGGTTCCCTTCCTGAGGACGTGCTCCTGGAACTTGTCGATGGCTGCGATGACAATAATCAGCAAGAGGTAAATGATGAGACGGACTAATCGGAATCAACATGGGGCGGTGCGATCGAAAAACAATGTTAGCGCTTACTCTTATCGAGCAGGTCCTCCTGTTCCTCTGCTTTGCGGCCACCGCCCATCTTCTCGTTGAGATGATCCTTCATCTTTGCAAAGCTGCCCTTCTCCTCTTCCTCTCTCCGGCGGCGCTCCTCCTCGGCAGCCTTGCCGCTGATCTTGTCGAAGAAGCTGGGCTTTTCCTCTCCGGACTTGCTATGACCGTGGCCTCTGGAATCCCTCGACCGGGACCTGCTGTGGCCACGGCTCTTCGATTCTTTCTCGTCATCCTTGCTGGTGAACCTGTCGAGGAAGTTGTGCTTATCCTCCTCTTCCGACTTGCTGTGACGACGGCCCCTGGAATCTCTCGACCCAGATCTGCTGTGGCCGCGGCTCCTTGATCCCCTCTCCTCGTCCTCCTTACCGGTCAGCTTGTCGAGGAAGCTACGCTTCTCCTCGCCGTGAGAGTTGCTCGGACGACGCTCCTTGGACTCGTCGTCGTCATGGCCCTTGTGCTTAAGCTTGTCAAGAAAGCTCTCGTTCTCCCGCCTCTCCCGCTCTATCCTCTCGAGTTCGAGGCGCGCCTCTTCCTCTCTGCGACGAAGTTCGGCCTCGCGCTTCCTGTCCTCATCCTTGCCAGTCAGCTTGTCGAAGAAGCTGGCCTTTTCTTCCTTTTCTTCCTCTTTGTAGCGGCGGTTCTCGGCCTCGGGGGACTCGTGCTTGGCGTCGTTGCCGTGACCGGTGAGCTTGCTCAAGAAGCCGCCCTCCTTCTTCTCTTCGTGCTCAGCGGCGGGGTGGTGCTTGGCGGCATCGTGAGAGTCGTGGCTCTCTCGCTCTTCACGCTCGTGGTCTTTATCGGAGAACTTGTCAACAAATGCTTCTTCTCCTCCTTTTCCTGCTCGGTCTGGGTGTAATTACTTTCAGAGTGAGGCTTCTTCTCCTCTTCCTCGTCGCCGTGCTTGAGCTTGTGGATGAAGTCCATTGTGGGGTAGGTGTATGCAAAGGTAGTGTAGGGTGTGAGGAAGCGGGTTCAGGTGGGGGGGATGGTTTGGGGAAGAATGGTAGAGGAAGCAGTTCAGGGTCCAAACAGATTAAGTAGACGGCGGCGTTTCGAAGGCCGTGACGTGGCGCCGCGAGTAATTCGGAGAGCAGCTGGCGGCATTCGTAGCTTCCCCATGTCTCGCGGACCCTGGCTCGGCGAGTGGACGCAAAGACCGCTTGGCGGAAGCCCGGCGTGGCAGTGCAGAGCGGAGAGGGGCAGCTGAGCGGAGGGTCTGGACGGAGAAAGTGGAGCCATTGAGCGGTGCAGCACCGTGTGGGCTGGCGGTGAGCAGCAGCACAGTCCGGGCCACCAAGGGCTGCAGGTGGAGCGAATGAGCGAGCGAGCCCGAGTCAATAGGTAGACGACTGGAACGGCCGCCGTCGGAAAATCCAGATGATCCGGATCTGCTACGGATGGGCATCGCAGCCGAACAAGGGGTAACTATGCCTCAGCACTTTTCTCTTACGAGGACTGCACAGGTTGAACACTTCGGCTTATGTGAGCTGTAGAAGCTATTGTCTGGACGCGAATGTACAACTCCACATTCATGTCTGGGCGATTTCTTCAAAACACCCATGCATGACACGAGCGAAAAACAGGTTCACGCTAGCCTTCGGCTACAATGCCCCTCTATAATGGACCGTCAAGAGCGTGGCTGAGGTCGAACCGATGCCCCTTTTAAGCAGTGCAACGAGCTGCAGAGTGATCGGCTCGGCCACCACCTCTGCCTCTTGAGACGCCAGCTCTACTGCGTAAATTTGCTCACGGTCTCCACACCACCGCCCGTTGTGATGAGATGACCTGGCTGCTCACGCCAGTTGCACCGCGAACGTTACCTTCCCTGCCGACATGTGTGCCAGATATCCTCCCAGCTCCTCGTTGTCATCAATCGGATAATTCACCTCTCTGAAATCCTGTCCTTTCACCACTCCCTCGATCCGTACCGCGCTCGACCCCGGATGCGCCCTTGTGGCCAGCGCTCGCAGCTCCTCCATGGTGCCTGATGTCAGCGCCCCCAGCCAGATCCGTGGGTCCGCCTGGATCTGCGAGTGTGGATGTAGTCTGAAGTACACAGGGATTGGCGTCGGTGCCGGGTCCGGATAAGCCGGCGTGTAGCTATACTCTCGCGCCTGTTGTTGGCCAGAAGAACCGCCACCCGTGTACTCTTGCTGTTGCTGATGATGATGTATGGTCTGGTCATTGTACATTCGACTCTCCTGGTGCTGGCCGGCTAGGTCGTTGGCCGCTAGCAGGAGTGACGGGTCGATCTGGAGATCGCCAGCACTGTTCACTTCTGGCGTGGGCGTGGTCGGAGCATAGGCCGTCGGCGTCTTCACCGGACTTGCTTGGGCGCTTTGAGAGCTCCGAGTGCGAGCAGGTGTCTGCATAGCGCGCGGAGGAGCCGGGCCGGGACCTGGTCCGGCATTGGCCTGCTTCTTCCGCGAAGGGTCGCGCTTTGCCTGGTCGTCTCGAAGCCGTTTCATGACGTCACGGCAGAGCACCTCTAGCGCTTTCAGCCGTTGCTGGTGCTGTGGGTCCTGATTGCCCGGGGCGAGAATGCGCTGCAGCACTGCAGAGCCTGCTATCCACTGATCCTTGAGCTCCTGCCAATGCTCGGCGCCCGTCTCCAGTTTGCTGTTGACATGGTCAGTTTTGAGAATGTCGTAGAACTCTCCACGGATTTTCCTGCTCTCTTCCGGATTGATGCCTATGATGTTCTTCGCCTCCGCAATCGTCATCCTGCGTTCCATCGTGCGCATCCGTTTGGTAACGTCGGTGCAAATTACATCCAGCGAGAGGGCCTTCTGGTCAGGCTTTTCGCTCTGCTCGTCAGTGAATTGCGTCTGGAGATGGTCGTTCTCGGCAATCAAGCGATCTTTGACCTGCTGCCACTTGTCTGGTCCGGCGACGGTCTTCTTCACCACGCCCTCTTCTTCGCAGATGGACTGGAACTGATCACGTAGCTGGCGATACAGCTCGTTGTCGAGGTCCAAGTAGGCTTTGCTCTCGTCAATGGTCGTTTCGGAGGGGAAACGCGGGGGACCTGCGGGATCGGCAGGCAACCCCGCCCAGCCGCGCATTCGCCGTCGACGCTTCCTGCTCCGCCAGCGCTCATCGCTCTCTTGCTGCAGCTTTTCCATGCGCTCCTTTCTCTTCCGCAGAGTTTCGGGATCGGGTTCTGGTGACGGGTCTCCCAGAGCATGGCCCGGGGTGTGTGGAGCTGCAGCCGGCGGTCCCTCGTCCTCCTGCTTTGTATCAGCTGGCATGCAGTGTTCGCAGGCTGCAAATCCCACGTACGGCGATGGCTTGTTGCAGTTCCTTCACGAATGCCTCCGGATACGTCTCGGCGGTCTGTGCTCCGACTGCAGTGGTGGTTGCTCCTTTCATGCCATTGGGGACTCTGAGAAGCCACCTGTTCTTCGCTCGAACACGCATGAGCTCGCGTTCCTTGAGGTCGAAGCCTTCATCGTTTAGAATCTGCAGCATGTCCCTCTGGTTTGTGTTTTTCTCCCAGAGTTCTTTGACACGCGCGACGAGCGCAGGGTTCTTGTGAGCGGGATTCTGCTTGCTGGGGAAATCCCATCGCTGCGGTTTCGGTGAGCACGCGCTGGCCTCTTGGACCCTGTTGGTGACGAACCTTGAACTGGGTCTGAAATGCGCGTTTGCTATTGGCAGTCAGTACTCGCGTTTCGCGTTTGAGTCGGCGTCCGTAGAGTACGGTGGGCGCAAAACCGACGACATGCCTTGGCGTGAAGCTCCTCTGTTTCCAAAAGTCCATGACTTCGTCCAGCGATCTCTTCTCCTCGACATACATCCGATAGCACTCGGCCTCCTTGCCCTCCCAGTCGTACACCATCTTGTCGTGCAGCCGCGGATCGTGTATCGGGGGGCTAAAAAACGGAAGTGCGTTGATGGTGCTTGGGGCGTGGCCTAAGTTCGGACGCTCGCCGCATATGCCCGCCCGAGCGACGCCGTCATTGTCATGGCCGCCGCCGCCGCCGCGCCATCTCGAATGACCGCTCGACAACAACTTTTCAGCTGCACCCAAGCCGCACCTAAAGCTGCCGCCGCCGCTACGCCATGTCGCCCATCCCCATCACCGTCATCACTGGCTTCCTTGGCTCCGGTAAAACCACGCTGATCCTCAACCTGCTCGCCCAGCTGCCGCCCGACTACAAACTCGCCCTGCTGAAGAACGAGTTCGGCGATGTCGCTATCGACTCGCAGCTCGCCGCCTCTCAAGCCATATCCGGTGTGCAGGAGCTCCTGAACGGCTGCATCTGCTGCAACCTGACCGGCCAGCTCGGCGATGCCCTCGAAACCCTCCGCACCACTGCTCAGCCCGACCGCATCGTCATCGAGACGAGCGGCAGCGCCTTCCCGGCCACCCTGGCCATGGAGGTGAACCGCATTTCCCGTGAGACTGGCGCCTTCGTGCTGGACGGCGTCATGAGCGTCGTCGACGTCGAGAATTGGCAGGGCTACGAGGACACCAGCTACAGCGCCAAGGTGCAGGCCCAGTACACTGATCTCATCGTGTTGAATAAGTGCGAGCTCGTCAGTGAGCGTCGCGTCGAAGACGTGGAGGACAAGATCCGTGACCTCGAACTCGACGTGCCCACCCCCATCGTTAAGAGCACCAAAGGACGCGTGGACAAGGACATCGTCTTCGGCTTGGACGCGAAGCTGGCCCGCACGGATGCCCATGCCCTGCACCACGAGCACGACCACAACCACTCGAGCGAGGTCGAGGTGCTTTCTATCACCATTCCCGCCGCAGGTGGCGGGCCCCACGGCGTTGATCTAGAGAAGCTCGAGACTTTGCTCAAGGACTCCTCCAAGGACGAAATTTACCGCATCAAAGGCGTTCTCCACGCTTCTTCGGTCCCCAAATCCTCTGACGGCCAGCCAGCCAGCCTCCCGAGTATTGGGGAAGGCAACGGTAGGTATATTCTGAACTGGGCGTTCGGACGGTGGACCTTCACAGCCGCTCCCGCTGCATCCCCGGAAGGGAGTACCACTTCCTCGGGCAGCGCAACGCCTGCACCAACAGATTCCGGCATCTCTACGCCGCAGAACGGCTCCGCAGAGCCGGCTCTGCGGATGACCATCATCACTGCGCGCTACGAATCCAGCAAATGGAAGAAGCGTATCGAGGCCGGAGAGTTCCTCGCCCTGGAAGGTGATGCGCCTGTACAACTCCAGGTGGAGAAGGTTGTGTAGGTACATCATGTTCGTTTGAGTAGAGCAATTCTTTCGCCTGAGGGGGCTGGCGAACGAGGGATGCATGGCGAACTGCGTTGAGAAGCAAGAGGGTGCATCGACCACTTTCCGTTGAATGGTAGCCAGGATCGCGTGTTAAGAGAAGAACATGTAGAAAACTATAGAGTAGACGGAATGGGTAAGGTAAAGGAGTTCGGTGGGATGGCTCCCCTTATAATCCCAATGTTCGGGTGCATCGGCCGCGCTCACAGATAGAATTGGTGCTCGCAATCCGTACTCGGCCTTCGAGGCTGGGCCCATCACGCTTACCAAGTCGGGGCCAAATGAGCAGCTCCGTCAGAGTAGTGATGCTAGAGCTTTTACGATTCTACCGTATCGCCGATGAATACTGTGCTAGGTAGAGTGCGTGACTGCAATAGATTAAACGACCTATGCCTATCTATAATAATATCACCATCATCAACGTATCGGCGTGGTAGCTGCGCCCTATTGATTATTTATAGCGCGTTTTTAAAGCATTATCTCCTGAGAACCCACCTGGTTACAAAGCTAGCGCCTTCAATTTGCAATTTCTGGGATCGTCGCTCCTTGCTCGCAAACTTTTCTCGTTGCAGCCTAATGGGGCGCGGTCCAAGTTCCACATGAGAGCGACTTGGCCGGGTTTTGGGAGCTATATCCAAGGCCAGCGTTGAAACCTGATGCATTGGTCGTGCAGAAGAACCCTGCTGTACGGTACTGTTGCGCTCGACGGAGGTTATCTGCCAGATTTCACCTGGGGTAGGGGCTTTCTCAAGCCGAGCTGCTTGCGGACTATGGATTTGGGGGAACGAGAATTGTCTGGCGAAGCTTATCTTCCAGCAGAATACTATCATCAGCCTGCGGGTAATAGTCTACGGCAAGAAACTCTTGACAGACGCGCTACCGGTATGGCCGGAACTAGTGATTTCGGCATGAGAGCACAGCTCCATTGCTGATAAGAACGAGTTGAGTACTCATGCTTCAAGGATATCCTGTTACTTGACCCGAGCATGGCAGTCTCCTTTAGGGCGCGAAACAGATATAGAACCAATGCGAACCTCGCGCATGGCCTGTGATGCCTTCCACGGCCCGAAAACCCACTATCGCTTCGTCATGGTTTACAGCTATAAGTGTCGTATTCGTTCTGTACAGCCGCTCTGCAGTCCGCTCATTGGCAGATTGCTGGAGACTTCCCCACTTGGTTTGTCTTTCAACGCGGAACGATGGCGGGTGGTCGATTCGCGAAAACGAAAACGAGCACGAGCCTATACGGTCCAGGATTGGAAACACTCTAAGAGGACCAAGGGCCATGTTAAAAAGGGTTGTGATACTTAAAACGGACATCGACCAAATTTTTCCATCGTTCGAACCATCACACATTCGTTTCTTTTCTACATTCGCTCCTTTGCTTCGATTCCACCGTTCCGTCCTCAGGATGGGGTACAAATATTACAACTACGACCCGAATTTCGCGGCAGCAGCCGTTTTCGTCGTTCTCTTCGGCGCCAGTAGCTTGTTTCACCTGGTGCAGCTTTTCAGGAAGAGGACATGGTATTTCATACCATTCGTCATTGGGGGTGTCTGTAAGGAAAGCCGTGCTTGACAAGTTGAGCGGATGCTGACGAAACATCAGTCGAGGCAGTTGGGTATGCGGGAAGAGCGCTGTCGGCCAGAGAGACACCAGACTGGACGATGAAGCCGTACATCATCCAGAGCATCCTGCTCCTACTGGGGCCAACGTTCTTTGCCGCGTCGATCTACATGATTTTGGGGCGGCTGATTCGACTCACCAATGGAGAGGCCCATTCAATAGTCCGGGCCACACTCGTCACCAAAATCTTTCTCGTCGGCGACATTCTGTCCTTCCTCGCTCAGTCCTCAGGTCAGTCCCTTTCGCAGTCGGCGAACTAGCTCACGAGCTGATGTTTGCACAGGTGGTGGTATGCTGGCAAAAGCAAAAACGGCAGACGACCAGAAGAGTGGCGAGCGCATCATCATCATCGGCCTGTTCATCCAGATTGCCTTCTTCGGCTTTTTCATAGTCGTGTCGGCGCTCTTCCACTACCGGATATCATTGTATCCAACAGCGCGGTCGAGGAACGTGCAGGTGCCTTGGCAGAGGTACCTCTGGATTCTCTACGTGGCAAGCGGCCTGATCATGGTCCGTTCCATTTACCGTCTTCTCGAATACATTCAAGGCAAAGACGGGGTGCTGCAGTCAGAGGAGGCATACATTTACGTTCTCGACGCTGCACTGATGTTCATCGTCGCTGCGCTCTTCAACGTCTTCCACCCCAGCCAGATCATCAACAAGGAGAGCATGGCCGCGGGAGTGTACGACGTGGAGATGGAGGCCACTGAGAACCTGGCAGGAGGCAGGAAGCGGGGCGAGTACGAAAACATACATCTTGCAGCGTAAACGCGAAGACGGGGCTGGCGGTTCCTAGGATTTCGGGGGATGTTCGGCGATTGTATTAGTGTAGACGACGGTACGTAGAATTCACTTCCCGCCAGGGAATTGACGCGTAGACTGTGCCGTGGTGTACTCGTGCAACTTTTGAGTTTCGGGAATCCTTAGCGGCGGGAAGCTGTCGGCGCCGGCCGTGGCAGCCGCAAGCCCTGTTTGCACGAGAGGGTCTCAGACAAGGCAGCAGACGCGCCGCATGACGTGCTGCCCAAGCTCGAGGCTGACACGCCCGACGCGCATTTATATCGTGGTCTCGCGCTGCTTGCCGCTGATCCCCAGCCCCACCAAAGCATATCAAATGTGTCTAGTCAAGGTGCATGAGGAGCCGGACGTCGTGGTGCCCTACCGCGTCGCGAGCAGGCGCCGCTCGCACTATTCGTCCTACTCGCCCCCGCGCTCCGCCAGGCTATCGCGCACCATCGTCGACGAGCGCCGCCCGCCGTCGGTCGTGTCGCACCACTTCGAGAAGACCAGAGTCAGTGCTGTCGACGCCCCGCCGCCAAAGGCCATCCCGCCGCCGCAGCCCGTCCCCGTCTTCGTGAAGCCTCCTTCGCCGCCGCCGCCGCCGCCTGCGCCGCCGCGGCCCGCGAGCCCGCCTCTTGCCCACCACCTGGTCGAGGTGTCTCCAGCCTCCAGCCGCACCAGCATCAGCGAGAGCGACTACATCGTTCGCGAGCACGAGGTCCATCGCCATCGCGCCACTGAGTACTCGCCCTCCCGATCGTCCGTGACTGATCACTCGCCTAGATACGAGACGTGCGTGAGGCCCAAGCTCCACGTATGGCTGGGAAACATGCTGACGCGGGGGGCAACGCAGGTTCAGGTACATCGAACCGCCGGACGAGCACCGGTACCACCAGCATCACAACCACTGGTCGCGGTCGAGCGAGCGCAGCGCGAGCAGAGACCGGCGCAGCCGTTACGATGACGACCCGCGCGAGAGCTACCGCTCCACGCGCATCGAGGTCAGCAGCTCGCGCAGGCCCAGGGAGTACTGGCGGTAGCAGCGGCGGCGGCGGGGTTGGGCTCGGAGGAGATTTGGCGCAGCGCGGACGACATGTGTATCTTAGGCGTGCGTTTTTTTTTTTTATGAAAGTGCAGTGCTGGCAGGCCGGCGCGTCGGCGGAGCAGTGCCCTGACCACCGCGGGATGATGACGCTCCAGGGCCCGCGCGGTGCACCACCCGCGCCCTGGAGCTGGGAGAAGCCAGACCAGAGCCCAGAGCCCAGAGCCACAGAGCCGCGTCCACACACACACACACACACACACCACTCCCACCCCGACTCACAACCACCCCGGGATGCGCCGCCCGCAGCCTCGTCCCCGTCTCCGCCGCCGCCGCCCCTCGCCCTAGCCGTGCCGCCCGACCATGTCCTCCCGCATCCGCGTGCTGATTCGAGACTACCCCCACCGCTCCATTGCCCTCGCGACCGACTCCCATGTGCTCGTCTTCCGCCATACGCCCACCGCTGCCGATCGCGCTGCCAATGGCCTCTACCCCGGCTCTGGCAACGTCTCGCAGACGTCCGTCTCCAGCGGCGGCGCGCCCGGCCAGCCGCCGCGCTGCATGGTCGAGTTCTCCGACGTGCACTCCACCGACCTGAGCGACTACAGGAACTTCTCCGCCCAGCCCGTGTACGGCACCTTGGGCCTCATCACCGTCAGCAACGACGTCTTCCTTTGCGTCGTCAGCGCCGCCTCGCGCGCTGCCACCGTGCGTCCGGGCGAGACGGTGCAGAAGATCTTGGCCGTCGACTTCCGTACCCCTCCCCTGTCCCTCGTCCCCCGGGGCCTGCTAACCGCGGTCCAGACTGCCTCAATCGCACCGACTACGACCACATCCTGTACGATGAGATCAACCCCTATTCGACCGACACGGTGGACGAGGAGGGCTTTGAGCAGGGCTATGGCCGGAGGGAGCCCCTCCTTGAGCATCCTTGCATGGCGCTGAAGAAGCTGTTGAGCAGCGGCACCTTCTACTACAGCTCCGACTTCGACCTCACCCGCCGTATGCAGGACCGCTCCTACGACGAGTCCACTGTGGTCCTCGACAGCCTGGATGCCGGCTTCCTGTGGAACTCGTACATGATCCAGCCGCTGGTGAACTTCCGCTCCCGCTTGTCAAACGCAGAAAGAGACGCGCTGGACGCTTCTGGCATTCTGACCTCTGCGATCCGGGGTTTCGCATCTACCTTTAACATCCCGGCCGCCTCGTCGCCAGCCCGCAGTACCCGCACCGGCTTGCCATCAACCATGACGCTCATATCAAGGCTGTCGTGCCGAAGAGCCGGCACTCGTTTCAACGCCAGAGGAATGGACGATGATGGTAATGTCGCCAATTTTGTCGAGACCGAGACCATATTCTGGACTCCGGATGGCGTGTGCTTCAGCTATGTCCAAGTCCGTGGTAGCGTTCCCATCTTTTGGGAACAGCAGCCCGGCCTGCTCCCGGGACAACAGAAAGTCTCCATCACCCGTTCCCCAGAAGCCACCCAGCCGGCGTTTGACAAGCACATGGAGAACCTGGAGCTTGCCTACGGTCCCGTCCACGTCGTGAACCTCCTGAGTGCCGAAAAGTCGAGTGAGCTTGAAATTAGTGACCGCTACCGCTATCACATTAGAAACTGTTCGCTAAATAACAATTCGGGCAACGGCGCCAGCTCCAAGGGGCACGAGCTGCTAAAGCTGACCGAGTACGACTTTCATGCCGAAACGAGAGGCCCGGCCGGCTACGAGGCGGCCAGCTTGATCTCGCGCTACATTCGTGATTCCACCGAGGGGTTTGCTTATTATCTGGGCGAGGAGATGGAAGAACGTCCCAAGACGTCTCACGGCGAAGACCAGATCTACCGGCAGTCAACGACCGTGCTTCAACAGGAGGGCGTGTTTCGTACCAACTGTCTAGACTGTCTGGATCGCACGAATCTCGTGCAGACTATCATCAGCCGGATGGCTGTCGAGGTATTCTTGGGTGGTCGTGGTGAGCGCGCCACTGCTGATTTTTGGAATCGACATGGCACGCTGTGGGCCGACAACGGTGATGTACGCTTTGAACAAAGCACCCAATATAGGATTTGGATTAATCAATTCATGCTAGGCCCTCTCCAAGATCTACGCAGGCACGGGTGCTCTCAAATCGTCTTTCACAAGATCCGGGAAGATGTCCCTGGCTGGCGCCATTGCTGACGCCCGGAAGAGTGCGCAACGCATGTACATCAACAACTTTGCGGACAAAGGGCGCCAGAACACGATAGATATGCTGCTGGTACGCGTCTCTTGTTCTCCGACGCAAGGAAGGCTCACTTACGACTCTGACAGGGACGACTGATGGGGCAAGCCCCCGTACACCTGTTCGATCCAATCAACGACTTCGTGACGAGTGAGCTGAGTAGAAGGTACTACTATCACTAGTAATTATGTCGGATAGTCGCTAACAGCAAGCCAGAGCGGGCGAATTCTCTTCGGAAAAGCCCATCTACATATGGGCCGGCACATTCAACCTCAACGGCAAGACCGAAGGGATCAGCTCGGATCTTTCTCCGTGGCTTACGCCGCCCGTCGAACCGTCGCAGCAATTTCCTGAGATAGTTGCCGTTGGCTTCCAGGAGATTGTGGAGCTTAGCCCCCAGCAAATCATGTCAACCGACCCAGCCCGCAGACAACAGTGGGAGGCTGCCGTGAAGCGAACTCTGAACGAGCATGCTCAGATGCACGGCCAGGAAGAATACGTGTCCCTCCGCGGGGGACAGCTTGTCGGCGCATCTCTATCGGTTTTCGTCAGAGCGAGCATCTTAAAATACATCAAAAATGTCGAGGGAAGCTTGAAAAAGGTGAGATTGACTCACAACCGCACACACGTGGATACGATCGCTGACCACGGTAACTCAAGACGGGTATGTCTGGAATAGCCGGGAACAAGGGAGCGGTGGCCATTCGTATGGAATACGCAAATACATCCATCTGCTTCGTGACGGCACACTTGGCGGCTGGTTTCGCCAACTACGACGAACGCAATCGCGATTACAGAACCATCAGCCACGGTCTCCGATTCCAGAGGAATCGTTCCATCGAAGACCACGACACTGTCATATGGCTCGGCGATTTCAATTATCGTATCGGGCTCAACAACGAGAAGGTCAGGAAGCTCGTGGAGGTGGGCGACCTGGAGACGCTGTACGAGAACGATCAGGTACGTCGGCGCATCTTGATACAAGCCAAGGAGCTCGCTGCTGACAGCCGACACAGCTCAACCTGCAAATGGTCGCAGGCTTGACGTTCCCCTTCTACTCCGAAGCTCGAATCACCTTCCCACCAACCTACAAGTACGACGTCGGTACAGATACATATGACACCTCGTAAGGCTATAGAGACCCTCCTTTCGCCTGAGTCTTGAGTTGACGGTGCACAGAGAGAAAGCCCGCATCCCGGCGTGGTGCGACCGCATCCTACGAAAGGGAGACAACCTGAGGCAAATCAACTACAATACCGCCTCTCTCAAGTTCTCGGACCACCGGCCCGTGTACGCTACCTTTCTCTGTGTCGTCACCATGATTGATGAGAAGAAGAAGGAACAGTTGAGCAAAGACCTCTACCAGCAGCGCAAGGGTGTCGTCGGAGAGTCGACTGCCGCCGGACAGGTGGATGATTCGGACGAAGAAGACCTGATCGGCTATGACCCAATCGACCCCACGCTACCACCGGCCAGTTCCGATCGCCGTAAATGGTGGCTTGATAACGGGCAGCCCGCGCAATCCGTACTCCGTTCGCCTGGCGATGACTTTGTAGTCAACCCCAAACGCCCATCAAATCCTTGGGCACCCTCGCAAGAACCAGATTGGGTCAAGGTCGCGCCGCAAAGGAACTCTGACAACAACCTCCAACGCCACGCGAGCGATGCTCAGTCAACCACGAGTGTTCGCCGCAAACTCCCGCCGCCCTTGGAGCCCACCCGCGTGAGCAGCCCGGTGTCCTCGACCAAGAGCATGCCCGTCGGTCACGCACCAGCATTGCCTCCGCGGCGTGCGGCAACGGGTGGTCTTGAGGGTGGGGTTGATCGGGACCTCGTATGCCTCAACCGCTCGCCCTCCAGTGCCTCTACCGGCTCTTCCAACTCGATCAAAAGGAAGCCTGCACCGCCGGTACCGAAGAAGCCATCTGTTCTTGCTGGGGCCACCTCACCAAAAGCGGAGAAGAAGCAACAGCCTCCCTTACTTCCTCCACCGCGAAGAGTCACGAACACGAGCAAGCCGGCTGGTGCGTACTCGGCAAACCAAGCCGACGAGCCACCCTCTTTGCCACCGAGACGTGGAACTGGCGCATCGACAGGCAGCCCTGGCGGGCTGTTGGATGTGGGCGAGGAGGAGATGCGGGGACTGAAGGATTGGGAGGTGTTGCGACCAGGCTGAAAGCACCACGACGCGTGGAGAAGCATCTTGCGGTCTAGGACGGTAGCATAGAGTGAAATAGATAAGAAGAAATGCTTGGCTGTATACCCCCTAATAGACGGATCGGACCAAAAGGCATTACCAGACCCAAAGCGGAAAACTTCAACCGCTAGTGCTGCGAGTGTGGCTCGTTGTTTTGTATTTCCATGCACTAATAAAATCCAACACGACCTATCCCGCGTGATTATCAGGGCATCGATTTCTGGGAGGTTACTTTTAGTGTCCCATGCCTGTGTGAATGGGAGGCTTACTAGTCATTTACCACGTGCACACGTGAGAGTGCAGTAGTTCCAGGCAGACTGCGGTTCGGAAGCGTTAATCTGCCACTCATTTGCCGCCATGCGCGCCATCAAATGCTAAGCGGCGCATGGCGCACCTCGCACCTCACTGATTAATATCCCTATCTGCGGCCTTTTTTCCCCCCATACACACACTAGTGTTTTGGAGGTGGAGAGCGGTAAGTTGTGAGGCGGGGTGAAGACCGATTCGGTGGGGCTGGGATGCCGTTCCCTGCAGTGGTTGGCAGGGGGGAAGAGGGAGGGGGGCAAAAGAAACAGATTGCCCAGAGGGCCTGATTATCGGGTTCTCGACCTCCATTCACGTCAGTTGCATTGGTTTACGTGGATGCCTCAGGCGGTGCTGGTGCAGATCCTGTTACCAGTTTGGACGGACGCCGCTCGGCCCGTACGTAACTCATGCACCTAATCTACCTTCTTTCCCTCATGCAAGAATAATAATGCTGTTGCCTTGCGCACGCCATTTGCCGGCCCGTCGATGAGACGCTCGATCTCGTGATGTTCCGAGAGCCCCCCACCCCGCCCCGCCAGCCGCTAGACTTACACGCCCGGCGAAACAACAAGCAGCACCGCGAAACCAAAGCCCTTTGTAGGTAAATGTTATCAACGGCCCTTGGTCGTCCCAGAGAGGCCAAAACGCTATCGTCTCATCCTATTTCATCCAAATTACCGAAAGTAAATCGAGAAAGGACCATCGCCGGGAAAGACATGGATTGCAAATGACGAAAAGGAGAACCACTAGGACCGATGCCGTGGGGGCATTCGTTGTAGAAGGAACTCTGGCTGGTGGAATCGAAGTGTCGTCTATATACCGGGTCCGTACATAAGAATATTTACATGACTCTCAAGAATGCTGTCGCAGCAGAATTCTCCGTCTCCCGTGTCCCAAATAAACGCCATCTGAAAGGAATCCTGGGTAGTAGATCGGTCATCAACATTGCGCCGGCCGTGATCATAAGGTCGTGGATCTCGTGGTTGCACAAAGGTTCTCATCGAGTCTTGCCATCGTCACTGCAAGTAGCAGACGAGCGTCGCCGAGAATTCTCCAAACCACGAGCAGCAGATCAAACATCTGCTCCAGAACGCTTGCCGGTAAAGTTTTATAAAGAAATACAATGTCTGAAGAAAGACATGAGGCTGTTAGGAAGGAGATGGTAGTAATGATTGACTTTAGGTCTGGTCGTACAGCGCCGTGATGAAGCGACCGACCAGACGGGATGTAAAGTTACCCTGCGAATCCGAAGGTATTTGCTTTTGTTGGTGAAGATAGACATCTGGGTGGGTCCGCATTAGCCATCAGCCACGGACGGTGCGTCGGCTGGACTTACAGTTGTTGCTCACAAGCTTCCTAACATTCTCAGCAAACACGGCGCAGTTACGCTCGAGTTTGCCGGCCCAGTACGCTCCATCGCGATGTACAATCGGATTCTCGCTCTTGCTGCTGCGGCGCATGAAGAGCGCCATGACAAACGAGAACTTGACGTCGATAGCCTCACAGGCTCGCCGGGCGCCCTCCCGAGCGTGCCGTTCGTCCATGCCCTCGGAGACCGTCTTGTGGTCCATGACGAGTTGAATAGTCTTCTGGGTATCCTCATGCACCATGGCCAGGCCGAGCATGGCACAGAAGGCGGCTGTCCACTTTGCAGGCGGCCACTGGGTCGATTTCTTGAGCATCTGCTGCAGACGCTTGTACACCTCGTGCATGGTCGTCTTGTGTAGTCCGCAAAAGAGATACTTGAGCTGCCGGTTGACCACCCGGGGTGAGCAGAATGGACCATAATCCGACGCCGAGCGACGATCGAAACGGAGGCGGGGAAGAACTTGAGCGCGGTTCGCTTCTTCGAGGACGAGCGTGTGGCCCATTATGTAAGTGACGACAATGAGGCGACGGACCTCGTGGAGTAGTAACTTCTGTACGGCAGTCAGCATCTGAAAAGCACGCGAGAAACACTGTCGCAGCACGACTGACCTCGTCTTTCGACTCCGGTTTGAGATCACGGATAAAATCCAGAAGACGGAGTTGGAAGTCGTACTCGTCATCGGAGCAATACATCTGGGCGAAGGCGTGGAAATGGTGCTCAACGATCTCGTCGAGATATTTTGAGTAGCGCTTGATATCCTCCTGCTCGATTTGCATCATGCCCAGCGGCGGCGAAGGCTTTTCGCGCCGTTGAGACAAGCCGGTCTTGTGGTCCTTGAAATATTGAAATTGCCGAGCTGACTCGTGGGTTTGAGGGATGAACTCGTAAGCCTCGCAGACCATGGCCGGCAGACCGCGTCCCGGGATCAGCTTGAGTTTTATGCGCATGTTAGTCCAACCAGTGGTGTGCTTCCCTACAAAGTCCTCGAGTGTTTTTGGCTTGTGTAGATCAGTCAATTGAGCTGCTTGATAGTGTCAGTGTGATCCACGAGCCGATGATGTTTGGCGTTCTTACAGGGAAGGAAAAACTCCAGCAAATCCCAGAGCGGCGTACGATCGCAGGCAAGCTGCGGGTGAGGGCCGTTGGCCTTGTTCTTACGCTTCTCGCACCGGTGGCAGGGGTCGCCTGGCCCACACTGATTGGTCATGTCAGCACGTACGCCCAACGGGAAGGCTCAACCGCATTCTGCTCACCTTATCCCTCTGGAGGGCGCAGGACCAGCACGCGCCCACTTCACGCATCGTATTCGCATCTCTCCTCCTGTCCGGGTCCAGATGCGAGCCGAGTTGCCTGCCACCTGACCTTTGCGCCGCATTCGCTTGTTGAGACAAGTCTCCGCATCCCGTCGCCGGAGGGCTTTCTGACGACTGCGGCATGTGCTGTGCGGGAGATATCATTGACGGGCTCTCGCCCCCGAACGGGTTGACAAAGCCGGAGCTTTGGTTCGCAGGCACTAATGCCTCGGCCATGTGTTCCATGGAAAGGCTCACGGAACTTATCGAAGAGCGGGGGTGCGATTCCGCGGTCGGGGAAATAAGGCTCGCATCCGCAACATAATTGGGAAATGGGTATTGGTCGGCAGTTGAGAAAGCTTGAAGAGGAGACGTATCGACGAAAAGGGGCTGTTGGGACATCATGTCGTTGTTGACGTAGCCGTGGGCAGTGCCGTTTTGGATGGGGAAAGACACCTCCTGACCGGTCGAAAATGCGGCGGACATGTCCAACGAAGCGGCTGGGAGGACGGTAGGAGACGGTTCAGGGGAGAGTGAGTGCGAGGTTGACGCAGAGAGACTCCGTCGGAGCTGCTCCTCAGTGACCGGGGGCATTTGAGCAGGGTTTCCGGCAAGGTAATAGCCAGGCCCAAAGACGAGGGCGTCGGGCGTCGCCTCCAAGTTCACCATGTTCCGCAAAGACTCGCTGCTCCAGGGCTGCTGCTGTGGCTGCTGACGCGGCATCTGAGGAAAGGGCTTGGCCATGTCGAGGTCGAACTGGGAGGCGGGCGGGAACCTTGAGAGGTCGGCTGCAGGCTGGGCATTGCTCATGACGTGCATGCCGGTTCGAGCGGTAGGAGACGGCGAGAAATCCGGCTGAGCAGCGCCTGCGCAAGGGTCAACGCGGGGACAAGGCGACATGGACAGGATGCTGCTACCGTGCTGGACGGGGTAATGGAAAGGCTGGGTAGCGAACGCAGCATCCTGCTGTTGCTGTTGCTGCTGCTGCTGCTGCTGAACGGGCATCTGGGGCTCGTTCGGCATCATGGGGAAAAGGTCGGTAACGCGGTCATAGGAGCCGTGCGAGGGGGCGGTTGGACTGTCGAGCGAGGTGATGGAGGACTGGCGCGGGACCATTTCCCAGCTCTGGTCGATGCTCGGGCTGCTCTGGCTCCACAGGGCGGGGTTCATCTCCAACATCTGGTCGATGGAGGCATTCATCTCAGGCGGAGTGTGGACCGGCACGGAGGCGGGCGAGTTGGAGGCGCTGTCGGGCACGTCCGGGGAGATGGGCTGGAAATTGGTCTGGAGGTGGACATTGGAGACGACGCCGTAGGGTTGGGCCTGGACCAGCGGGGTGATGGGGAGGGGCAGGCCGGTGAGGTGCTGGGGCGGCGGAGAGTAGCCGGAGTTCAAGGAGCTGTTTGGCGACTTGGAGTAGGCTCGGTCGCTGCCGGCGAGCGAGGAGAGGACGGTTTGGAAGTCGTTGTCGCCGTCGGGCCAGCTGTCGGGCGACATGGGGCCAAAGATGCCGTCGCCGGCGTCATGCCATGGTCCAGAGGCGGCGGCGGTGGTGGTGGTGGTCATTGTTGGCCCTCGGGCTCAGGGAAACGGAGGACTGGTCGCGCACAACAGCCGGCATCCGCGTAGCTATTAGGCCATTCCCGGGCGGGGCGCGGGCGGAGGTGCTCTGGCTGGGGCGGTTGCGACAGCGTCGGGATGAGGTCAGAAGGCGCTGGACTGGAAGATTAGGAGAGGATGGAACCCTGTGGAGGATCTTCGAGCGATGGGCGCGGGTGATAATTGAAACAGGTCAATGCGGGCGCGCGAGGAGGCTGCGGCTCATGGCAGCGAAGGAGCGAGGCCTCGAGGGCGGCAGGGTTGGTGGTGGGGGCAGGCCAAGCCGCGGAAGGCTAGTGCGCTCACCGGTCCTAACAGCTGCATCCCATACGCAGAAACGCTCCAGCGACACCACCCACGCCGGCGCCCCCCCGCCTGGCGAGCCCGCGCGGCGCACTATTTATTAAAGCCGCCGCGCCCGCCGCCTGCTAGTCGCCCGCGCTGCCCTCCGCGCCCGAAACTCACCGCCGCGGGCAGCGGCCGGCACAAACGCTCGCCGGGCTGCGCGCGAGGGCTGCGCGGGCGAGTGGGCGGAGGCAGCGAATCGCAGCGTGACAGCGCAACAAGCGTGCCTGCCTGCCTGCCCGACCCCGGGGCAGTCAGCGCCGCGCGTGCTGCGGGCGTCTGGGGACCTAGGGCGAATGCCCGTTGCGCACGCGGCTGCCAGGCGTTGGCTGGCCGCGGCAGTGGGGGAACCTCGACCTCGACCTGGAACCGCTGCTGGGCGCCTGAGCTTCAAGGCCGCGAAACCTGCGCGCTGATTATTACAGTACCGGGAACCTTCCGCCGGTCCGCGAGGGGGCTCTCTGCGGCTCTAGCGCCGGGCGAGTCTGGCCGTCGCCCAACGCTCATCCAGACGGTGGAGCCTTGCCCTGGCCGCGGCGAATCGCCTGCCGGTGCGAGCCTGACGCGCGCTGCTGCTGCTGCTGCTGCCGTTGCCGCTGCCGCTGCCGCTGCCGCTGCCGCTGCTGCCGCTGCTACGCGCCGTTGGACGCGACGGGATGCGTGATTGGCGCCGGCTGTCAGCAACCAGTTCGTGCATGTGTCGAGCGGATGGCGCAAGCGTGTCAGCCAAAATAGACTGCTGATCATCAAGCCGGGCAGAGAGCTGTCTGGGTGCGACTGCTTCCAGCACCTTCGGGTACGGCGTGCCGGCCGCAGGGCTGAAACTGGCAGCATACGTCATTCTCAACTACCAGCTGGTCTGCATCACAGCAGGACGACTACTATGCCGTCGCAACCGTCGCTTGTTGAACCTCCTGCCCATCCGCGTCCTCTTATAGCCAATGCCGACCTTCCGTCCCCGTCCCTGCACTTTGCTCCCGGTGCGCTCCCGTGCTGCGACTGCGCACCCGCCCACACGATACCGATCCCGTGATGGCCGCTCGCGACGACACCGAGCCGTCTAGACGCGACTACAAGGCCCCGTACACCCCGCACCACCCCGTTCCCACCATCGGCCGCTACCGCGAGGAGAAGGCCCAGCGCGAGGCCCAGCACGCTCCCACCTCTGGCCAGGATGATCCAACATGGACCGAGCGAGCTGCAGGTACCGCAAAGGCGTACTGGAGGGGTGAGAGGCCCCAGGACGACGCCGGCTCCTCTGCTCAGCCGTACCCGAGCCAGAACAAGAATCTGATCGAGCTGGAAGACGATCAGGGTGCCCCCCAGAATCAGGGCCGTGACGAGGAGCCAATGGACCCCGCCCACGACAGCGCCGCTCAGAAAGACGGTGAAGATGGTGGAGACGTTGCCGAGGACACCTCCGAGGCCACCATGGCAGCGAGGGACGCCAAAGAACGCCGGAAGCAGATGAAAAAGAAGAGCGACGACCCGACCGAGCGGACTGTGACTGACCCCGTCACCCACCTGCCCATCACCATCCACGACTTCACCAAGAATGACCTCAAGACTGCCCCTCAAAACGAACCGGCCGCAGGCACCCACCGACGTACCGCTACCGGCACCAGTGCCAAGGGCAAGGACGACGACGATCTCCGCGACGAGGCCACTGAAAGCCAGGCCTATCACTCGGGCATGGAAATGCTCTTCCCGCCGCCGGACTTCGACAACGTACGCGTAGAGCTGACGAGCATCTACAAGACCGCCACCACAGTCGGCTTGTCTCTGGTCGTGGCCCTGACCGCCGGCTTGCTGACTTTGGCACGGCTCTTCATCCACTCGGAATTCCGCTTCCAGGTGGCTGCTCCGGTCATTCTGCTCGCGACATTGGGTGCAGGAGCCGCGGTCGTATGGGCAGTGCGTGACTGGGTCGACAAGAAGGTTGCTGGTCTGTGGGACGATGAGACTTGGGAGGCCGAGAGGCAGAGGGGGAAGGAGTTGGCAAAGGCCGAGATGCCCGAGTCGACTCAGTGGCTCAACTCTCTTCTTGCGTCCATCTGGCCATTGGTGAACCCCGATCTTTTCACCAGCCTGGCCGACACTCTCGAGGTAAGGACCCGCTCTGGCCTCCTCACACGTGCTGTTTCTGACACGTGACGCGCTTCAGGACGTCATGCAAGCCAGTTTGCCCAAAGTAGTGAGAATGGTCAGCGTCGACGATCTTGGTCAAGGAAGCGAGTCCATCCGCATCTTGGGTGTTCGTTGGCTACCTACTGGCGCTGCCGGCATGTCCGTGTCAAAGAGTGGGAAGCTCAAAGGCAATGGCGACTCGAAGCACAGCGACCGCACTGTCTCGGGCGAAGGTGAGGCGCAGAGCGTCCAAGGTAATCGGGGCGAAGAGAAGAGCCCGCAGAAGCTGCAGGAGGATGAAAATATTGGAGAAGGCATGGAAGCCGAAGAAGGCGATTTCGTCAACGTAGAGATCGCCTTTTCGTACCGCGCGAGAACCGCTCGTCGTGGCATCCGAGATCGAGCCAAAAACATGCATCTTTACTTGGCCTTTTACCTCCCTGGCAACCTTCGACTGCGTAAGTAATCCGAGCAGAGACCCCCCCCCCCCCCCCCCCCCCCCCCCCCCCCCCCCCCCCCCCCCCCCCCCCCCCCCCCCCCCCCCGCCGCAGCCCGAGTCCCCGTCCG